ATAATGCATGGCTTTAAAGCTGCATTAATTGGATATTGGGATACATGGGGACAGCAGAACAAGCTGAAAATGCAATATTGATTCATTATCATCTTATAATGATAAGCATGTTAGCAAACATTTGCCTATTTAAGCATCCTGCAGACCCAGACCAACATTAGAATTCATTTTGAGGTACAAAAACGACCCGACGAATAGAAGTCTAATATTCACTCTCTTTATTCTGTTTTGGCCTCCACAAGCTAAGTGCTGCTGAAGGCTCGACCTCTTCCTCAATCTGCCTTTTAGTGTTGGGCAGGTAGCATACTTTTTTTTTCTTTTTGCCAAAAACAGCTTTTGTTGAAAATTGAGAAACAAACTATCATCGATTAACTGAAAGGTAAACTGTGGCTGCTTATGGTAAAGCAATAGTTTATTAGCCTGGTACTGAATGTAGCTTTGCTTTTTTTATATTTGTATATTAGAACAACTAAGAAAGCAATTTTGGACTTTTACCATGGCGGCTTACCACAGGCGCCACAGGAGAGTTGTGTTCAAATTGTCAACAATTTTGTGTAGGATTTAGTGGCATTTAGCGGTGAAACTGCAGATTGCAAACAACTGAAACCTCATCCAAGCGCCAAGGTGATACTAAAGAGGCTGTGAAAAACATGAAAAGTCCTATCTAGGGCCAATGTTGGGTTTATTTGTTCATGGCAACTGTAGAAACATGGTGGTTCAACATGGCAGGACTTTGTAGAAAAGCTCCCTCTGTAGATAGAAACAGCTTAATCTGAGGTAACAGAAACACACTAATTACTATTTTAAGGGGTGATACTACACAAATGAAAACACATCATATTTAAGTAGTGCCAGTACATCTTACATGTTACCTACACTGGACCTTTAAAGTTTTATAGTTTGTCTATTTAACCCATGGTTAAGTTGTTTCACCAGTGAGAGAGTTGCATAAAGCTAAAGTACTGTTGCTATGGTTATTATATATATATATATATATATATATACACTTGTATATTTAATAAGCAGAGCATGCATAGTCCTAGACTGTTACATGTAACAATTCCACTTCATCTCGCTGTTACCTGGGCTTTCATTGACTGTCGCTCTTGAGCTGAATCTGTGATCTCCACTCACTAAAGGACTTGCTCAGTACCCTGCAGATGCAATATGAAACATGTCTGATGTTATCAGGGCAGCTCAGATGTGCGAGTATCTCAGGCTGGGATTGTTTGAATTTCTACACCTCACATTCAGGAACAACCTTTTCAACTATACCTACGTAATGTATTAACCAGGTGCGTTATGTAAAATTCTGTTTCAAAATCATAAAACATGTAAGTCTGATTCTGCCACAAATTAACCCAAAGTTGGATACAGAGGAAAGATGAACAACATGTTATTGTGTTGAGAAGACAAAAAAGCTGTTTTCCATCATCGTTAAGCGATAGTTCGGTGGATAGGTTGCAGCTGAGTTGGTGATGAATACCTCTCCGAGCGTGTATCTGACAGGTTTTTGTTGTGAACATCATACTCTCAGCATCTCCAGTGGGGTCATTACAGATGCAAATCCCAGTCGCAGCGGTGTTTTATGACACCTGTTCTTGTTTTCCAGGACGGCCCCGGCAAGTGTCCCGTCGAGGACACGCAAATCAAGATGGAAAACGAGAGATGGGCGGACAGGTAGGCCCGCTCAGCTGTCAGCGCTGTCCCCCGTCTACCTTCACTCCCCCCTCTCGCCTTTCCTCCCGATCACAGCTCTGCCACTTGTGTTCCCATCAGTCATTTTCATAGCCCCATCCCTCTCCGCTTCTCTCTCTCTCAATGTTAGATGAGGACATTGCACCCCACCTTTGCCTGATACTTGAGCATCTGCTTCCTTCTGCCACTCGTTGTCTCCGGAGAGTTTGATGCTTATGGGGGTTCTGTGTGAACTGGGTCAAAAAGCTTCCTCATTCCTGTACAGATGTCTGGTTCATGCAAAGGAAATAGGTTCCAATAACATGTTGAGGAAATATTGTGCCATAACCAGAGGTTAGTAATGCAACTGTGAAATGCTGAAGGATCCTGCAATACCTGCCAGCACTGCATGTAAGATACATTTAGAGGTCTACAAGGCAGTAATTGTATGTATTAATAGCCCTACACCACTGCTATCTGCCTGAATCTAAAAGTGAGGTTGCAACAATGAAAAAGGTCCAATGTGAGATATTTATGGACACAAGTGGGAAAACTTGATACAGTACAATTCGGGAAAGTGAACCTAGGAATTACATCTATTTTGGAATTCTTTCAAATCTGCACCCAACTTTGAGTGTAGGCTGACCCAGATGCTTCAAAGCTTTTACTGCCGAAA